TCTCAGGGTGCACCTCAGCAGGACACTGGAATCAGGAGTGGGGCTGTGACTCAAGAACCCAGGCCCTCTGCTATGGGATATGAACATCCCAAGCAAAGTCTTCGCTACTAGGCCAAATACCCACCCTGGGAAATAAAAGGTTTTGACCCCTCAATCCTGAAGCTGAGGAAAAGGCTTTTGAAGACTTATTGTAGGGGGCCAGTGCTGTGGCATAGTGGGTAAAACTGCTTACTCCAGTGCCGGCATCCCATATGGGCACCGGTTCAAGCCCCAGCTGCTCCACTTTCAATCCAGCTCTCTGCTATGGACTGGGAAAGCAGCAGAAGATGGCCCAAGTCCTTGGGCCCCTGCATCCATGTGGGAGACCCAGAAGAAGCTCCTGGCTCCTGGCTTCGGATTGGCACAGCTCCAGCCAGTGCAGCTATCTGGGGAGTGAACCAGAGGATGTAAGATCTCTCTCTCTCTCTGCCTCTCTGTAACTCTGCTTTTCAAATAAATAAATCTTAAAAAAAAAAAAAAAAAAAAAAAGACTTACTGTAGGGGACGTTCAGTCTATTCCCACCACAAATGCTTTCTCTAGAACTTCTCATTCCCCTCATTCTCTCATGGCAGTGTGGCTTCCTCTATCCCTTTAGTTTTTAATCTAATTTTTGGTTCTGTCTATGATGTGCCTTCTGCCACCAACTCAAATAACCAAGTCTTCCTTCTGGAGGCTTTCTTGATAACCTATGACCAAAATTCCAAAGAAAATGAGACCAAGGTTGCCTTCATACCTCCCAATTGTAGATGAAGAAAGCAGAGGGTCCCTTGTTAAGCTGCAGCCTACAATGCCAGCATCCCGTGTGAATCTTGGCTGCTCCACTTGTGATCCAGCTCCCTGCTAATGTGCTTGGGAAAGCAGCAGAACAATGGCCAAGTGCTTGGGTCTGTGCCACCCACATGGGAGACCCGGAGGGACCTGCAGGCTTCTGGCTTAGCCTGGTCCAGCACTAGCTGTTTTGGTCATCTGGGGAGTGACCCAGCAGATGGAAGATCTCTCTGTCTCTCCCTCTTTCTCTTAACTCTGACTTTCAAATAAATAAATACATTTTTAAATAAAATACACTCAAGATAACAAAAGCAGGTGAGTGATCCTAGCCTTCTGATTGATAGACATCACTGAAGACAATGATGACTCTACTGCCTACATGTTTTTGTCATTACTTGTGTATGCTGAACAGAAAGAGGCTTATTTGAAATACAGTAATTTGGGATCACTGGAAAGTTTTTTTTTTTTATTCTAGGTAGTTTTATGACTCATTTAGGAATTTTGTGCTTCATCAGGCCCTTGAAACTAAAGACTGAAAGGATTAAGCAAAACCAAACAAAACACTACAGCCTTCACAAACCTGAGACCAATCTATGACATCTGGGAGTATGTTACTCTGTTATTTAAGCTTCACTGTTTACTACGTTGAAAGTGAGAAAGTAATACTTGGCACATGATTGCAACGAACCGTGGCCCTGATAAATGCAGTAAGTAGTCGAGGCAGATGTCCACTGAGTTGTCTCCCAAAGCAGTGACTCTCTCTTCAAGATGACAACCTGTCTTGCTCCACAGGGGCAGACTTGGGACACCGGTCTATAGGGGTGGGCCCATCAGGGGCTCCCTCCTGAGGGTCTGGAAGTGAGGTCCGAGGGACTCAGTGCTTCCCGAGGTGGCTGCGAGCTCGGGTTCTGTCGGCAGTCGTGTTCTCGGCTGTGTGTACTTGAGAAGCAGGACTCGGTTTGCAGAGAGAAGGTGGGGCGCTGAGAGAGGCGCACTTCCTGTTTCCCTGCAGCCTGTCTTCCTGGCTCCAGTCCTGCCCTAAGGCTCTGTGGGCCACCGCTCTGACTTGATAAATTTCCCTTTGCTGCTTGAGTAGATTTTTAGAACTTGCAACTGAAAGAATCCTAATTCACGTGAGTGGTATTCCCCTTCCAAGTATTTGATTAAACAGTCACAAAGATTAGAGCCACATTTGGATAGACACATTCCACTACTAATACTTCAAGAGGCACCAACAGGAAGAGGAGTCTGGAGCTGCAGAGCTCTCAGGGCCAACTTAGCACAGGTGGGAGCTGACGCCCAGGGAGGCTACATCTCTTGCCAAGGTCACATCTGTGTCTGAACCAGGCCCCTCGACTCTTGGCTCATAGACCACTGCTCTTTCCTTAATATTCACTGACTTGAACTGGAATACTGCTTCTAACTTCACAACTCGTTTCAAAATAGACCAACACTCCTGCACATTCTTATCCCCAGTTTTTGTATGAAAAGCTGAAACAAGAAGACGCAAAATAACTGCCACCATGCTGCATGCTAACAGATCTAGAACTAGAAATGCATTCGCAGGCTCTCAGGCTCTGTCCAGAAGGCCAGACTTCTCTGGCCATGTAGACAGGCCACCACCGACCTGCTTGATCTGATGACTCCATCGTGGCAGGGTTCTTTGGGTGTTTTATTTATTCCACAGACACTTACTGAGCAATAATTATTTTAAGGTGAGCACTATTCCTAGGCCAAGAGAAATGATGAGGAGTAAACTGAGTTGACTGGCATCCTGAGTGCTGGTGACCTTAAAGGACTTTAAACCTAGTACCCAAGCAGAAGCATCAGCACAGCAGATGTCTGGGGTGACATAAGACAGACGAGAGTAAAACTTCCTTGCAACGAAACAGGACTTTTTTCACTGTGTCACCAGAGAGTAGAGTATGGAGCCCCAAACACAGGGTGAGTGAGGGAATGAGTAAGTGGCTCACCAAAGGAGACCAGCAAGTGAACTGCACAGTAGCCTCAAACACAGATGGCCCACGCCCTGCTCTCTGGGCTCATTTCCTTGTCTCTCTTTCCCACTAGCAAGAGTACAGACTCTCCAGGCTGAAGCTGTTTTGTTTGTTGAGTTATTTTCCGAATTCCTAGCACACATCGGAGTGTGCTGGGGATGTACAGTCAGGAGGATACACAGAAGGCTCGCTTCTGTAAGAGGTCAGAAGGTAAGAGCACAGCTTCCCCAAACGAGGCAACTTTTAAATGACTCTTACAGGGGAAATGGAAACTGGGTGACGTCTGCCGGAAACAGACAGCTGAGTCTGAGCAGGTCTAAGGAAGACTTTGCTTTCATTGTGGAAATACAGGAATGCATCTGGAGATGCAAACTGAAATTAAATCTGCTAGCGTAGGGAAGGAATACATACACAGAAATGAGAAGGTGGGGAAGGATAGCTCCATGGATCCCAAAGTCCTAAAGTCAGTGCGAGGTTTTTGGATTTACCATGTCCTTATTGAAGATAAGTGGTCCTGGCGGGAAGCTACAATGATCTTATCAACGGTAATGCCGTCTATTATCCTGAGTGCCTACTCTGTGTCATGTAGGCAGTGAGGTTTAACATGTATTTCTCCCCTAGGTGTGCATGATAAATCATCTGTGTGTTCATTGACTTCATGTGTCTTTACACAGCAGGTGCCCACATCATGGTGGGTTAGACTACGCAAGACCCAAAGACAAATTCACACTTGATTTTACCACGAATGACCTGTCAGCTCTGTCTGCAAAACCATGAGGTTCTCTATCATTCTTGGCCACAGTGGGAACAAGTGGCCTCTGGAGTTGAAGAGGTCCAAACCAAACTCTGGGCAAGATATGGTGATAAGTCACCCACAGGAAGATTGAAACCCCGGTCAGTTGGTCTGGACCACATTTCAAAGTTACTAGGAGTCCTGAAATGCTCTGTCTACTAAGACAAGTTTTTCATTAGTCTATTTTTATTTTACGGGGCATGAAATTGGTTGAAGCTGTTAAGAAAAATCATCACAACTGAGAATGTTTGTTGGAGAGCAGAGGGGTCAGCCCAGGGAAGGGGAGGCATGTCTGTCCCAGCCTGAGAGGTGGCGTCTCACCATTGATCTTTGGCGGGTTGGACTGGAAAGGATGGCCAGAGTTCCAAAGGGCAATATTATATTTCCAATTAAAATGTAAAAACAAACCTTTTCCATAAAACACATTGGCCTCAGCACAGGGAAGTGACGACAAAGCCGTGCTGATTGAGAAAAGCTGAAAGCAGACACTGTAATTGATAAAGGAGATAAGTCAATCTGTGTCCTTTCAAGAATAATGAGTTCCATTTTTCATCAAAAAGATCTCCTTGTGCCGAAGAAACATTCTTTCAATAAATCTACTTAATGGTTTCCCCTCTAATGATATATAACCTTGCGCTTTGGAATGGGTCCCTGCCAGGCACGGCAGGCCACCCATCATTTGCATTGGTAATGCAGCCCCAAAGAACACCCCACGTTCCTAGGAAGTGCTGCTTTGGGAAGGTGGGGGCGGCAGGGGACAGCATCTGAAGCCCTTCCTGGGCCCTTGGGGCAGGTAGAGGGGCTGGGTTTGGAATCCTGGGGGGAGGGCTACCCTTGAGAGCCTTTGCAGATTCCCACTCCGCTGAGCTCCCCCCACCCCCACCCCACACTACCACTCTGTTGAGTTCAGGGATCTATCAGTTAGGAGAATGACTTCATGTGAGACAGATGCTCAGATACTTGTGTCATGAGAACCCACGAGCTTTGTTTCTTCCCTGAGCTCACCGCTCCCCCACAGCCCGGCCCACTTCAGCTAGCTGGAAGTCAGCGGCAGAAGGCCGTAGGGCTGCTTGTGTTGGGTAAACCGAAGTCCACTTCAGTGAGCCCGCCTGAATTGGCCCTGGACCTCATGTGTGGGGCGAAGCTTCAGGTAGTGAAGGCGTAGCAGAATGAAGATCTGTTGCTGTCTAAGGGAATGATTTAGAGCCCTCTACACCCATGGGTTAGGCAGAGGACTATGCTTCAACCCAGGTGACCCACCTGAACCCCAACTTCCCCAATGTGCTGTTCTTTCTACAAGGACCCAGCTTTCTGTAACCAAACCCGTTTCCTCCCAGAGCACCCAGCCCTCCCAATACCGACAGCCGTCCTCACATGGGAATCATTAAACACAAGCCGAGAGTTATTTCCTTATGTTGCTATTTGTTTATTCTCCAGTCGCGTGTGACTCAGCCAGATCATGATTTGTGGTGGTTTTGCTTGTGAAATCTTACATAATTATATTCCATTCCTATTGTCACATTGGGCCAGAGCAGTTAGACCATACCGTGTTTTCTCATTGCACAACATCTGCAAATCAATAAGGAGAAAGCCTGAACAATGAGATGACGTGGGCCGGCCAGGCACGGGACTGCCTGCGAGTCTCCAGGAGGCGGCTCTGCAGTTTCGCACACACAGCCCGCTGCTCTGATGCCACTGCTGGGCAGGATGACTAGCCGGGTGGTGGCCTCTCAGATGGGTTTCACTGAGGTGGTACGTAAAAGATGAGAGCCAGGGAGTGAAAGAACAACAAAAACAACACTACACACAGAAACCGATCACATTTTTTTCTTCTCTCTTACTGCATTTGCCCCAAGCTGGAATCCAACATGCTGGCCCAGAGTGAGGCTGGCTAGAAGCTCCTCCAGCAGGCTTCCCCGCCATGGACATGGTCTCTTCTGACCCCGAGGCAGTTAGAAACACACTCTGGATGCAAACAGGGAGTGGCCACAACACACGGATGAGGGCGGGCGCGACCTGCACGACAGAGCGGAACCCAGGAACATGATGGGCAGGGGGCAAGACGCCCCCCTGGCTGCTAATGGAATCATGGAAAGCAACACCCACAAGGGCTGTTTTGCTTCTCAAATTCCCGGAGTCTACTGAAACTAGTTGTCCCTAACATCATGTCATACTTTTCATCAAATATCTGACCTGATTTAAAACATGTTTGCATACATCTTTGCGTAGTGCACCTTAAAGTTACTCATATTGATACAGGATGAGGATTACGAAGATTTGCATAAAAAGAGAAACTGTGCGACTCTATATGAAGACAACAACCATCACATTCCACAGCACGTCATTGGTTAATTTTCAAATTGTCAAGCATTATTTAAAACGAGAGAAAAAGAGGGAGTGAGGGAGCGGGAGAGGGAGAGAATTATAACTGAACACAAGTGGCACGACCAAAACAATCAGAACAACAGAATCAAACCCAACTTCTCTATTAATCATCTGAAAATGTTAGCTCTGTTTCTAACACTTTCCATTAATTGTTATTTTAAGCTCCAGTAGCGGGATCAGATTTCTGCTGCCCCTGGGCGAATGAGTTACGATCTGATCTCAACTTCCAAGGGAAATGCTCCAAGTTTTATTTTCCCCCAGTTGAATAAACAGGACCATGTATATTATCTCTCGTGTTAGAATAGTGTTGTCTTCACATAAGACTCAAAGAATGGTATTAGTCATTCATTTCCTTGAACGCAGACACCCTCATGCGTGCTGACAGGTTTATAAGGATGCGGTGGCAGCCATGGGTCCTGGGAGCTGCTAGATGGCTGACTTTGATTTCTTGCAGTCCTGGGCGATGGAGCCCGGGTGTGCCTGGTTATTGTCCGCTTTCTCTCGCAGATGCTTGACTTGTCTGAAAGATTAATACATTAACAAGAGCTGAGCTCTGGGGTTGCACATCTTCAGACATGTTTATTAGCAGATGGCACACGGGATTCAAAGGTCACCACAAAAGTGACATTTTAAAGTGAAACAACAATATTTATGTTCAGATAGTCTACTGATGAGATCATGTGGAAATGTTTCTGATTAAATTAGCTTATAAATGGTTGCCAATCTATAGACAACTTAAAATGCTGTGTCTGTTTACCAAATGTTTTCTTCTCACGCGCTCACCTTCTAAATGTAATGACCAAATCCTGCTTTGTTTTGTTTTGGTTTTGGTTTGCGTTTGGTATGCTCCTTTAACTGAAGGATCGGCATTAGCTCGCTTTTACCCCCGGAGTTACCTATGTCTTTAAACTCTAAAACTGTCTCCTCTGTGTGCTCTGAGAGCTCACCTGCTATGATTACTGCTTTGAAAGAGTTTGGTTTCCACTGTGTGAACACAATGGCTTTCCATCTCGTGAGCATAAACTGTGTCTCTAGAGAGACCCCAAATCCAGTGCCTTCTGAGACTGCATGTTCAAGCCTCAGGCAAGAGCTACGCACTGAACTTCAGAAACAATTGTCACGGCCACAGTTTTGCCTTTGCAGCCCCTGGGAGCCCCGCTTTTGTGGCCCTGTCTGCTCGTGTTTCATAAAACAACGTGAAAAGCCAAATGCCGCCTTCTTTCAGCCTCTTCTGCTGTTCTCTCAGTTGTACCCACGACTTAGCAGGGATGTGAGAGAAAATCTTCAACCTCAGGAAGTGGTCCAGCTAGAGAATGCGCAATAGTATAAAGTAAAAAATCCCTCTTTCCTAAGATCTGCAACCCTCCATAGTCGACAGCACTCACAAATATCTCAGACAAAGGCACTGCACTGCAGGAATCCTGATGAACGAGTAGGTTACAACTGTCACAGATGCGCAGGAGGGGAATGGGACCCTCTATGCTGTTTCTCATGGATTGACATGAATTGTATTATGAGTAAGTTTGTAGGATGGAGATATGATTGTCTGGATGTTTTACCTTATTATTTTTTTTTTTTATCTAGCTCATGGCTTTTGTACAGTTACAAAATGCAACAAATGTAAGAATGTGCCAGAGGATTTACTCACTTTTCAAGAGAACCTTTTTCAATAGTCATTGCCCCATCGATTGGATCCAATCCTTGTTCAGAAAACTGTTTCAAGGCACTTAGAGCTGCCTAAAAGTGAAATCAAACAAGGAGAGGCGTTCACTGAGTTTCATGTAAGGAACATAGAATTGTAAAGAAAAACCAAACCTCAGACATTAGTCCCTTTCATTAGTCTAAATAAATGCTTTTTTGCATCACTTAGCAAAATTACATGTGAAAGGCTGTTACAGGGGAGCACTGTATACAAAGGTACTCCAAAAAGTTTGCATAAAAGCAAACCTAAAAGATTTATATTTTGGTGCAAACACCTGAAATTCATGTCTACATGGGATACCTCAAGACGTTTATGGAAAATCCGTATCATGAAAAAACTACACATGGGTCCCCAAATATTTCTGCACTAAAATAAACTTATCTTTCATTCCATTTTCCATGAACTTCTTGAAGTACCCTCGTATTACATGATCGGAACTGTGAAGGCTTTGCTTTGGTGGGGGAGGAGACAGGAGGTGGTAGACAATCTCAGAGAGCCTTATCCCTCATCCCTAACTTTGTAAAAGCCTGATGTTCCATCTGCAAATGTGGAAATATCCAGTATAAGCTTAAAATGTTCCCGTGTTGGCCTTGCTTAAAAGTTCGCCTCACAGCACTGAAACTGTACATTCGCTTCGCTCAAATGGGAAGGCGCCACATTCTTCCAACTGGAGTCCTGGTCCCCAAGTTGGCGTGAAGGTATTGTTTAATTGCTTAGGCACCGAGCTCTGACCGAGTCAAGCAGAGGGAGAGATCCTGGTGCACTCCGAGGGGATGGTATGCGGGGATCCCAAGAGGAGGGGGGAAGAGAGAGAGCTGGGGCTCCCGGGGGCTCTGGGGAGGCAGGCGGCCACAGTGTTGATAGGCCAGGGAGGCGTGGGATGCTGAAGGGTGTTGACAGGCTGGTGGAGCCTAGCTGGATAGCTGGGAGGCACCAAAAATGCGAGGCTGATAAGATCTACATAACTTGTTGACACTCTTGTGCACGTTCCAAATTGTTATTTCTTTGAATAAGAATTTGGTTCTTCTTCCCCACCCCCACCCCATGGCTTCTGAGTCCCACGGAGGGGCTGTGTGGCGTCTGAGATAGGTGTGAGCAGCCAGCGTTGTTTGAATCTCACAGAATCCCGCTGCTTCACACTTGGGTCATCTGTGTCTTCTCAGCTGCCTTTGAAAAAGAGCTAACCCTTGCAAACTTTTATCTGCGGAGGGCTCCTTCTGCATTGCTAAGTGCAGGATTTCATGTCAATGTCTTTACTCAGAATGTATTTTTCAAGTTTGATTTTTAAGCTAATAGACTATTTTTAAAAGAAGTACTTGCTTATTTAAAGGCAGAGTGTCAGAAAGGGAGAAACACACAGAGAGAAGCAGAGATCTCCCATTCACTGGTTCATTCCCCCAAATGCCTGCAACAGCCTGGGCTAGGCCAGGCCAAAGCCAGGAGCCCAAAATTCCACTCAGGTCTCCTACATGGGTGGCAGGGACCCAGGTACCTGGTCCATCCACCAAGTACCTGGTCTGTCTCTTAGGCATTAGCAGGGAGCTGGAGCGGAAGTGGAATAGCTGGGACTCAAACCAACAGTCTGATATGGGACACAGGCATCCCAGGAGGCAGCTCAACCTGCTACACCACGATGCCCACCTCCAGTGGATTATTTTTTAACAGCAATTTTGTGTTTACAGAAAAAGTGAGCAGCTAGTACACAGCTTCCATCTACTCCTTACTTCTCCATTCTCCAAGCGTGGTGTCCCCTTTTATTAACCACTTGCATTGGTAATGGTACACTGGCTATAAGTGATTAGCAAATGTTGCAACCTTATCAGTAACGGAAGTTCACAGCTAACATTAAGCTTCACTCTTTGTGTTGTCTGTTTTATGAGTCTGGACAAACATGTCCACCATCAGGCGATCATACAGAGTAGTTTCACTGCCCTAGAAATCCACTGTGCTTTGCCTGTTCTTCTCTCCCTCCCCGAAGCCCTGGCAACCACCGATCTTTGGACTGGCTCCATAGTTTGCCATTTGCGAACCGTCATAGCTGGAAACATAGTGTGCAGTCTTTTCACACTGGCTTCTTTTACTTGGCAATGTGCATTTAAAGCTTTTCCGTGTCTTTTTTGTGGCTTGACAGCTCACTTCTTTCTATTGTTGGACAATATTCCATTGCATGGATGTACCACAGTGTGTTTATCCATTCATTTATTGAGAGACTTGTTGATTGTTTCCAGTTTTTGGTGCTTATGAATAAAACTGCCACAAACCATCCATGGGTAGTTTTAGTGCAACACTGGAAATATTATTTTCTCCCTTTTCTCTTGGTCTTTCCGGGATTTTGTCTATTGGCTGATTTACTTTTATTTTATTATTGTTTCTTAAATTTTTATTATTTACTTCAGAGGCAGAGAAACAGAGACAAAAAGAGATCTTCCATTTGCTGGTTCAATACCCAAATGCCCATGATGGCCAGGAATGGATCAGGCTGAAGCCAGGAGCGGAAACTCAATCCATGGCTCTCATGTGTGTGGCAGGACCCACGTACTTAAACCATCACCTGCTGCCTCCCAGGCTGGGCATTACCAGGAAGTTGACATTGGGAGCACAGCTGGAACTCCAACCCAGGCACTGTGATGTGGAGTGCCAGTGTCCCAAGAGGTGACTTAACCATGCCAAATGCCTGCCCCTGCCTTTTCTGATTTTAAACCGTAACTCCTGGGGCAGGTGTTTGGTCTAGGTCAAGTTGCCAGTTAAGACACCTGAATCCTACACTGGAGTATGCGGTGTCAATTTTCAGCTGTAGCTCCTCACTTCAGCTTCCTGTGAATGGCCACCCTGGGAGGCAGCAGGTGATGGCTCAAGTACTTGGACCCCCACCACTCACATGGGAGACTCAGACTGAATTCCTGATTCTTGGCTTTGGCCAAGCCTAGCTCTGATTGTTGCCAGCATTTGGGGAGAAAACCAATAGATGAGAGAGCTCTCTTTCTCTATGCTCCATCTATCTCTCTGCCTCTCATTTAAATAAATAAGTAATTTTTAAATAATAAAACACAGTTAAAAATAATAACTCCAATATCCAAATAAAAGTGATAATATGAACCTTCTTTTTCTTTAGGTTATTTTAATAACTTCCTTTTGTATCTTCTCCCTAGTTTGGATGTGCATGTTGCAGCCCTGGCCTGGGCTCCCTGGGCAGGGAAGATGCTGTGCTCAATCTCTGGGTGTAAAATATTACCTCTACACCTGGAGTCCTGCAGGGAGAAGGTCAATGTCCCCGTCCCAGCTCTCCTGACCTTGGTCCATGCCCGTGCTACACAGCAGCAGGTGCAGGCTGTGGGAGCACCGTGACTCTCTAGGGTACTGAGACGAGCTGAAGCATGTTCCCTAAAATCCATATGTTGCAGTCTTCACCCCTACCCCCATGCCTCAGAATGTGATCTTATTTGGAGTTAGGGTTGTTGTAGATGTAATTAGTTAACAGAGGTCACGGCCGGTGCCGCAGCTCACTAGGCTAATCCTCCACCTGTGGCGTGGGTTCTAGCCCCGGTTGGGGCGCCGGATTCTGTCCCGGCTGCTCCTCTTCCAGTCCAGCTCTCTGCTGTGGCCCGGGAGTGCAGTGGAGGATGGCCCAGGTGCTTGGGCCCTGCACCCGCATGGGAGCCCAGGAGGAAGCACCTGGCTCCTGGCTTCGGATTGGCTGTGCCGGCCGTAGCGGCCATTTGGGGGGTGAACTAATGGAAGGAAGGCATTTCTCTGTCTCTAACTCTGCCTGTCCAAAAAGAAAAAAAAAAAAACAGAGGTCATGCTATAGTAAATTTGGCCTCTAAACCAATTTGCCTGACGTCCTTATAAAAGGAGAAGCTTTTACACACACACACACACACACACACAGGAGATGTCATGTGAAGAGGAAGGCAGTGTCAGGTGGTGCAGCAGAAGCCAAGGAATGCAAGGATTTCCAGCAGAAACCCCCAGAAGCTGGGAGAAGGGCCTGGAGCAGATCCCTCACAACTCTGGAAGGAACCAGCCCTGCCGGCACCATGGTCTCAGTAAAGCTCCTGGTCTGCGTGTCAGCACCAGCCTGGAGAGGATGAGCTTGGCGGTGCTCCTCTGGGTGTCTCTGAATGACCTCTCAGAAGTGCTCTGCGGGTTTGATGAGCAAACCAGTTTTGTCATTTTATGGCCCCACCTTATTTGTGCTTTGTTCCTCCTGATCATTTATTTATTCAGTAGACTTGGCTTCAGTGAAGTTTGGCTGTTTTCAAAAAAGAAAATGAAATTCACCCTGCTTTGGACAGCCTCCCCGCCCCCAACCACCACCACAAATAAAAGGATTCACAGAGGAAATCTCCTATTCAGATTTGATTAGGTGACCTCTGAGGTCTTTTATATTCTGAAGCAAGTGCTAAGGGTGGCTGTGCTGAGAAGGGCCCTGTGGGTGTGTGACTTCTCTGGGCATCGGAGGTGCTGAGAGCCAGGCCCACTCACTCCCAGGCTCCAAAGACCAATCTTGACTTTATTTCCCCAAGCCCCCAGCTTTGTCGTGTGGCTCATGAGCTTAAGGGTTCTGTGCATATTCAACAGTTTTAAACAAACGACCAGCTATTTTGTCCTGACCCATTGAACTGAATACTATTAATGAATTTTGGCAGGAATGCTGATTTTTATCAACTTCTTCCTAGATGGACTATCACAGATCACTGAGTGCTGGGAAATCTAGGTTTGCAATGTGATATCTTTTTTTTTATTTTATTTTTTATTTTTTGACAGGCAGAGTGGACAGTGAGAGAGAGACGGAGAGAAAGGTCTTCCCTTGCCGTTGGTTCACCCTCCAATGGCCACCGCGGCCGGCGCGCTACGACCGGCGCACCGCACTGATCCGATGGCAGGAGCCAGGTGCTTCTCCTGGTCTCCCATGGGGTGCAGGGCCCAAGCACTTGGGCCATCCTCCACTGCACTCCCTGGCCACAGCAGAGAGCTGGCCTGGAAGAGGGGCAACCAGGACAGAATCCGGCGCCCCGACTGGGACTAGAACCCG